CATGAAAATACTTCAGCTACTGAGTGTCCATTTCATATGTGGAAAGTGTTCAATATAAAAGCCAAAGTGGGCATTTTAATGCATTTTTCTTTTTACAGCGTAACTAGGACTCTTTCACTTCCTCCATATATCTGAAGATACTATCTGCATTTGCAACTAAGAGATTCTGGTTTGTGCAATTATTGTGCAGCCATAATGATGCAAAGATGTTAACCAAGGTATCTCCAATACTTTGCTACTGTTTGAGCTTTTTGAATACTAGCACTGTCACCAAAGCACCAGCTAATATTCCTGGTCAGTATGGCTAACCTCCCAAGCGTATGCATTTTTTAACAGAAGCTAGGACCTCTAAGGTAAGAGCACAGAGTAGTTAATAAACTCAGGAGAGAAAAAGCATGAGAAAAGCGAGGAAGAAGGTGTTACCTGCAGTTACCTTTGGAAACATCATTGCCCCAGATCTGGTGTGTTGTTCAGCCTTTCCCTTTCACTGATGTTTTGTACTTCACTGAACGTATATGCATACTTCTGACCTGTATTATATTGTTATGTCTTAAATCAATTTTTAAAGGAAAGACTGTAACTTCCAAATGCAAATTCATAAGAGAGGTATTTGTAAGAGATATTAATCCTCAAGCTGATTTACAAAGGTCACTGGCCTATGAGGATACTGTTTGTTTCTTAAATTACAATATGAGCAGTGAATCAGTGTAGCAGGCAATTTAGCTTAGCTCAATTGACATTTCATATTCAAAGGAAAAAAAAAAAAAAAAAGTATGTTCTTTCTCCAGACCTGTTGTTTCTATTTGAGAAGTTTTCATTTTCAGATTAAAACAGAAACCACAGAAAATCTGCCTTGGTATTTCAAGTAGTACTTCTAATTTCCATATCAAATTCATTCTTGAAGAATCCTTTGTGAGAAGATGAACTTTTGTTTTTATAATGTCCAACTCAGTCTATTGTAATTATATACAAAACAGTATTATAACCTAGTATTCAAACATCCTTGATCTTTCAAAAAAAGAAATATTATGAAATGTTATGAAGCATATCTCTGGCAAAAGGCTGGGCAGCTGTCAGGAAGAGGACAGGGGTGTTTATACATTAGAAGTTTCACCAAGGAAAAGTAAATTCTTTGATAAATAAATGGATAATATAAGTAGCAAGGATTCAAAGCCAACTCATCTCCTTCCTATCTGTCCTGTCCTTCTTGCAGAATCAGGCTCCCTGATTTTGGCAGCACTTTTAGCTATACCTGATTTCTATGGAATATCCATTACCCACGGCACCATGTTCAGCTGGAAATCAAGCTTCATACTTATGTGCCACTTCTCAGTTTCTGAAGTATGTGTGCATTTCTGAAGTATGTACTCTTGTGAAAACTAAGATTAGTAAGATCTAAGTCTATCTATCTGTTATATTCCTTGACAAATTAAAGCAACAGTGCAGTGCTCTACTACTGTCAGTTTAAATATTTTTTTTTTCCTTAGGTTGACAGGTTTTAGGCCACTGAAAATGAAAATATGCTTCCAATTTACAGCTCTAATGTATTTAAACGCTATTCCATTTGTATCAATTGAATTGACATTACACTTTCCACAAAACAGCTGCCATAATTACTTTGCTTTGATGATGCTGTTAGAAATGACTGAATTTTTCTTAAAAATCAGATAAATTCTGTTTATATGTAGAAAGCCCCTTTGTGGCCACTCGCTTAGCTGTTAATATTTTTTCATTTTTGTTTTGTTTTACATCTGATAGGCTAGCAGTTGACGGGTGCAGTCCAACTACTATCTAATTAATTTGCTGGAGAGTTTAGCAGTACAGTTTCTCAAAAAGCCATCCATCAAGCTCTCACTTAGAGATACTGGTAACTGCATTAAACCGATACAAGTAGCTTCTAAATAAGATACTTCAGTTGTAGTAGATATCCAGAAGATTACTTCAATTTTATTTTACGATAATTTTCAATAGCAGCATATGATATAGGCACCGGTATAGCGACAATTTGGAACAACTAATTCAACAATAGGAGGTTGCACTGTGTAGTCTCTCTGAAAGCCAGTTACCTAAAACATTCTAAAAACTGTGTTTTCTTCACCATAGGCAACATATTGTCACAGGATAAATATAAATATGTACACACACACACACGTATATTTACACATAGAGTAAGATCAGTCTACCATATAATAGAAATCCTTTTATAAAACAGTTATGAGACTCTTGCTTTTATCCCCTCACATGATTTGTTTAGGATTTATTAATTTGCTTGTGAAATAAATGTCTGATGTCTGAATAATCTGGATAAATGAATCTCCACTAGAATTTACATTTGTGAACTATACACATACTTTCCCTCTTAGACTGCTCTGCTTAATAGCAGTTAACTAATAAGTTTAGGCAAAGACAGAGGGCTCTGAAGTTAATAAATTAACAATGAGGTGAACAAAAGCAATCTCTGTAAGTTTTTGAGGCATCACTGTCTAGTCTGGTTATCACTTTGCAGAAGGGACACTGCGAAATGGACTAGTAATGTCTATGCTGAAAAAGGGCATTTGAATTTTTTTTTTCCCCTCTCCCTTCTAGGAAGTAACTATGCTTGAATTGTGAAACTTTGCTGTAGTTTTTCCCGCCTCACTAAGGATAGCTATCTCCTGGGCAGCCTTATGTTCACAGGCAGCTACCTGTCCTTGTAGATTTTTTAGGCAGTGTATTTGTGCAGCCATCACCCCCTTTAATCACAAACCTACCCTGATGTCCAGCAATTCCTTGCATTTGGGAAACAAATTCAAACCTATAAAAGGAAATGAATATTGGATTTTTAGGTTCACATCTTCTAAATTGTAATGATTTGAGTATTGCAGCTGACCTGGACTCAACTACAAATTCAGTAAAGTTATCTGATCTTCAGAGATCATAGAATCATAGAATCATTAAGGTTGGAAAAGACCTCCAAGATCACCAAGTCCAACTGTCAGCTCAACAACACCATGCCTACTAAACCATGTCCCGAAGTGCCACGTCTATACATTTTTTTACCACCTCCAGGGATGGTGCCCCTCTCTGGGCAGCCTGTTCCAATGCTTGACCACTCTTTCAGTAAAGAAATTTTTCCTAATGCTCAATTCTAAACCTCCCCTGGTGCAACTTGAGGCCATTTCCTCTTGTCCTCTGGTTTGTTACTTGGGAATAGAGACCAACACCCACCTCGCTACACCCTCCTGTCAGGCAGTTGTAGGGAAGGGTAAGGTCTCCCCTCAGCCTCCTCTTCTCCAGGCTGAACACCCCCAGGTCCCCCAGCTGCTCCCCATCAGCCTTGGGCTCCAGACCCTTCACCAGCTTCACTGCCCTCCTCTGGACACGCTCCAGCACCTCAATGTCCTTCTTGTAGCGAGGGGCCCGAAACTGGACACAGTATTTGAGGTGTGGCCTCACCAATGCCCAGTACAGGGGAAGGATGACTTCCCTTGTCCTGCTGGCCACACCAGTTCTGATACAAGCCAGGATGCTGTTGGCCCTCTTGGCCACCTGGGCACACTGCTGGCTCATATTCAGCTGACTGTTGAACAGTACCCCCAGGTCCCTCTCTGCCAAGCAGCTTTCCAGCCACTTCTCCCCACACCTGGGGTTGTTGTGACCCAGGTGCAGGACCTGGCAGTGACCCTTGTTGAACCTCGTGCAATTGGCCTCAGCCCATCGATCCAGCCAGTCCAGATCCCTCTGTAGAGCCTCCCTACCCTCCAGGAGATCGACACTCCCGCCCAATTTGGTGTCTTTGCAAACTTACTGAGAGCGCACTCAATCCCCTTATCAGATCAGCTGTTCTTTCTAAAAATCAAGCCAGTTCAGGCTGGTTTAGCTTCAGTATTAAAAATCTGAAAAACTTTTAAAACTTTGGGTTTGTGTTTTAGCTTTCATTTGATTTTGCAGCACAGACAAAATAAGACACTTGTGAATCAGAGAACAATAACTAGTCTTATTCTGTAACCATATGAACATGACGAGAAACAAATGCAATACCCTACTTTTACTTTAGCTGTTTACCTATTTGTCTTTCATTATCTGTAGATCACCCAAGATTAATGAATTCATTCTGAGCTAAATAGTTTTCCTAAGTAAATTTTCAGCCACAGAATGAATTAATTGATTTTTCCCATTTTTGCATTACTGCACACAAAAGCACTAAAAGCTTAAAAAAACCCACAAAAAATAGCAACACATTCCTTACAGGCACTTCAGATAATATTCCTGCAAAATCCATGACTTTGGTTATTCCAGCAGTGTTTCAAGCTCCAGTTTGAACAAGTTTAAATTACAGAATATTTAGTCACATTTGCAGGACTGAGTCCAACAAACTAAAATCTCCTCCCAATTCTATTTATAAATTTCTAAATTATGAAGAAGTGTCATTTGTAAGTAATAGAGAAGTATATCCCTTAGAAATGAATACCGAGTATAGAACGTACTTGAGTGAATTTATTCAGCATATACACCAACACGCTTTCAGTCTGCTAGAGGGTTCATGGGTCTAAACTCCGTGTCAGAGCACCATTTCCTCTTCGGCATATCATTACACAGGCTATAAACTTTCAAAGTGAGAAAGCTGGCAAACAACTAACACTAATACGGTGTCTCGCATAGTTTCCATAGCAGTATTATCTGAACACTTTGAGCTAATACTCCTTAGAATCACACATTTGATCAAGTTTCCAACTGAACATCTTTGTGGAAAGGCTTATGCTAATTTCTCAAATTAGAATTCCCCGCCACCTAATTTATATGCCATGAAATACTATACAAATGCCAACACCACAAAACCTACTATCTTACTGCATACCATTATATAAAAAATGGAATATGTTGACTATTACCCTAGGCCATTTGTGTGTTCTTCCCAAAAATGCCAGACTTAATTGTTTTATGATATCAGCAAAGAAAATGTGCAGTGGCAAGTCACTTATACCATATATTCAAAAAAAGTGCAACTCCATCAAACATACCTCCACAAGCCTGCTGGTATGTTCTCGAAATATAGCAGCATATTCCTTTATTTCTTTATCTCTTCCATTTTTAGCAGCTTCAATGAGAACTAAAAGTGGAACAGTGGTATCTAAGAAGGAGTCTGAGATGTGATCTATAATGGCTTTACGGAGCTGCAAAAGAAAGCATTACATTAGTACCTGCTAATTAGACTATTTATGAAAGTCTACTGTAATTATTGTGCATTAGTATTTTATAACGTAAACATGTACACACTGTATTCCTGCATTATTTGCAGGATTATGTGTCTGAAACCTACTGCAGCTGCAATTTATCTATTACACAGAAAACTCTCTTTAATTTTAGGGACAATTTTAATATACCACCACCTAAATACGCATGTTTGTATGTGTGAGTGCATGTATGTGTGAGTGCAGATACATAAAAACTTATACATGTACTAGTTCTGTTGAAATCAAGGGAGCCAAACAAATATTCATGTTCTTTGATTAACAGAATAGATGACTTACATGATTCCACACATAAAAAATTACTGTTAGACCAAACCTAATATCTCCTGGGTATTCTCTCCTGAAGTTCAGCCACCAAGGGAAAAGGCTATTCCATTTTACAAAGAAAATAATTAAATCAATATGTTTGTCCTCATGAAATAGTCTACATCACATGTTTTCATAATTGCAAAATTACCCAAATATTTTGTACCTTGTTGGAAAAGCCAATGATACAGTTTGATTAGCAAAATGGTAGACTTCATGGTAATTATATCACTGAGATTACTGATTATGCCACCTGATAGTAGATTAAAAGAGCAAGAAGCACTATAAATGAGTCTGAAGTTCAATTTTCTCTATTTAAATTAATTGTTCTTGAACTTCTTACTTAAATTATTGAAGTGTAACGTTCTGCTATAAATTACCTCTTTTAAATTAGGTTCCATGCCAGCTTATAACTGATCATTGGGACATCACTTAAGATGTTATTTTCCATGTAATAAACCTACACATGGGAATTGTTCATTTTAATCATTGAACACTACAAGAAATATACCAATCGTAACAATATATGCAATGCAACTAAATTATCAAGTTCACTGAATTTCCTACTTCAAAAAAAATATTTTTACAATATATATAAAAGATATTGTTTGGAAAAGAAAAGAACACAAAGGAAAACAAAAGGCTTTTAAGCTCTTACATGCTGGCAGTTTTGTTGCCAAAGGACGTGTTTTCACTTAGCATTTTGCTCCAATATATCTATGTGAAAACTCTGTAGAAGTAAAGACTCCTACAGCTAGCAAAATGCAAAAAACCACAATCTTTTTGATACTGCTGTCCTTGTAGGTAGAGCAGTGAACATACACAGCAGAAATAATAATAGAGAAATCCGTTGATTATCAAGACAAGATTTGGATATGAATTCCACCACTAGCTTTTAGATAGCCTCACCGTCTAAAGCCGGCTCTCATTGACTCACCAGGAACATGGGACAGACAAATTTTCCCAAAAAAATATAAGTAAGTTTATGTTTGGAATGGTTTTTTGTCTTCTAACTTATTGTAGCTTATCACATTAGGATATACTATCTAGATACACTGTATGTTCTCAAAAGTAATTTACAAAGACAAAGGCTATGGGATTCCAACACAAAACTGGACTTTTTCTGTCATGTTCACATTCCCAGCTTTATTCAGCTGGAATTTAAAAAAAAAATAAAAATAAAAAGAAAGAGGTGATAAAAAGTTTCCCTACCAGGAATAAAATACCCTGAGTCCTGCCAAGTTACCTGTTAAAACTTCTGTATTGGAAAAGTCCAACTGAAGAAAACAAGACGTGCTCGCCTGCTTAAAATTAAATATGTGAATATGACCTTGAGGAATCACAGTTTAAACATTAAGATTTCAATTTACAATAATCAGCAACAAAAAGCTGTGGAACCATATCCGTGGCCAATGTTTCATTACCTCCAGAAGAAATATTTTTGGGTTCTGCATAGCCCAGACTGTAGGACTTCTGCAGCCTTAATGTATTATTTGAGGACCAGTGACTGCAATGACCTTAGTCACATTTGTGGTGAGCTTGAGGCATCCAATTTTCAAACCAGCAGTCTAATTTTATCTCTCATCACATAATTCTTTGCCGTAGCTTTTTACTGGTTTGCTTGATTTAATTAACCTTTCACATATAAATTATCATTATTATTCTGTTCTAAGAAATCCTCTATCCTGCAATTAAACAGTGAAACGCATCTTCTTCAAAAAAAAAGATAACGCTGTGTCTTTGCTGAATACAAACAAGTTTGAAATTATGTTCCTGTTTCAGCTTTGTGAAGGAATGCGTGAAGCTGAGATTTTCAGAAGATGGCTTGTCTAGCACTAAAGAACAAAGAAATACAATATAGAACAAAGGAAGGAAAAAAGACAAAAGAAAAAAGGAACATCTGAAGCAATATGTATTTCTCTTCATCCTAATCATAACAATCGGGTTTTTTCCACAACTCAGTAAGTCTCTTTCTGACTCTGGCCACCTCTAGAGCAAAATGCTAAAAGCTAAGTAGCCATGTAGGGAGACACATAAACAGATAAAGAACAGCACCAGTCATGCTAGCAGGCAATACTAGGGAAGTTATTGTGCTATATTAAATTTTTTCTCATATTTTTAAGTGAAGGAGACACCATCAGAAGACAGAAAGCAGAGGGAGGATGATGTCTGACAAATTGTTTCACTTTTGAGGCGCAAGGTCTTATTCTTACCCTTTGAGCAGACTGTTACAGAAGTGGAAGTATGGAGAGTTTTTGTTTTGATATAAAAGTGCATTAAAAAATAACATAGAAACATGTTGTTTATAAAACACGGGGCATAAGGTTGTCAAAAACAAACAGCGGAGGGTAGAGGAGAAAATCCCAGCAGCTGTTTGCAACACTATTAAATATTGGTATCCTGATGAGTACAGAAAACTGTGTTTGCTTCTATTAGCCTATTGCCTCACAAGACTGCACTGGCAAAAGTCCTGGAAGAACTAAAGATTAGTTATTATTGAGGGATTTCTCTTTCCTGTTTCGAAGGGATTCCAGGAAGGCAATCTCCTTTGTGTTCAGAAAAAGCTATCCATGATGAGGAACCAACATAGAAATAAAAGAATATCATCAGTAATAACATTTATAAAAAAACCCAACCAACCAAAACTGTGGAACAGCCATAGGAGAAACATCTGTGCAGTCCATTCATGGTATGGTGGGAAACAACTGGGAGGCAAGAACTGAGTATGGTAATTTCTCAGAATTAGAAATTGGAATGAATAGACAATTCCTTCCTAAATATTCATACAGCTCTACTAGGCAGGGAAGCAGTGATCTAGGTAAAACTAGGAGTTACAGAAGTTACATGCACATCTCTGGCACAATACAAGTAAAAATCAGGACAAAACAGAACAGTTTAAAATCCCCACAAGTACTGGCCAAGTTCCTGAAGTGAATACAAATAATTCCATTTGAAAAGCTAAATATTTTTATAACTTCCAGAATACCCTGTTCTTGAGATAGCTATTTTTGCCTTCAAGTCTCACCAGATACAAGCTTTCCTTCACTTACTGTGATCTACAAGGATGTTCCATAGTGGCCCATGGCATAACTGACAATCAAGTGGTGACCACTTACATGATGGGTTTTATTTATTGTGCATTACACTGAAGAGATTTCAAAAACACAAATTCATAAGGTTTTATCTTCAACCCCAATTTTGCAGAGGCAATCGCAGTAATTGACTGAAAGCAGAGTACATTGTACACACCACAGCCCCGAAGTTGTGCCTAATGTAATACCAGCTATGGTACACAGTATTATTCAAAAAAATGTTAAGTATTATAAAAGCTGTAAGAGTAGACCAAATAACAATTTTCATGTTTCCAGTAAAAGTGCTGGGAGACAGAATAATGAATGTTCCTAAGTGGCAGCAAATAAGACTCTACTGCAACATCTGCGGGCACAGAACTCACAATTTCATGTTTCCCAGATCAGGAATTAGACATGCAGGAAGCACTCTTCCTAAAACAATTCTTATGCAATTCACTTGTATGAACACAGAACTGGTGGAAGTAGATGAAATAGTTTTCATACAGACCTTCCAGTGGAAAATGTCAAGAACCAGCAAACTGCTGGTTCTAGATTGACTATAAATTGGCCATGATTACATTCAGCCTGAACGTTTTACAAAGGTTTATAGAAACACACAAATTGAATCAGTTAACAGATTTTAAACACTAACAGAGTCAGTAAACTGTTATAAACTAGACTTTAATTAACTCGTGGAAGAGACTGTAGGACAGAATGGGAGAGTTCCTAGACACACTGAGCTTGTAATGCAAGTCGCTGGGTGTCTGAGCTGAACATATTTTTGATGGAATGTGAGCAGAAATTGGATAGCTAGTTAGCTGTAAACACTATATTTATACTATATTCATCTCAACTTTCAAGGCTTCCCCTGGCTGATTATGGGAGACAGGAAGGAATTTATTAATCATCTTGAAGCATAGGCTGGCTTGTAAGACTGTACACAAAGTTGGGAGGGATATTCTTCCACCAGAGAGTTGACAAACAGCCACAGCTAGAGGTGGGATGAAAGCAGCGTGTGCTCGTGTTCTATTTAGACATAAATTTTCACGTAGTTAGTTGGGGCAGCCTGGCTGAAAGAACTAATGGCTTTCTAGCACGCTCTTTTCTAAACTGGCATGTCATATACTTTCAACATAATCTGCAATTTTTCTCAAAGATGTGCCTTGCAGAGCAAGGATGTAAGCGCACAGCTGATATCTATTGCTCACCTTCTGCAGTACACTGAAGCTGTGGATTTTGGCCCACATCTTACATTATTTTTTGGATACTGGAATGCAAAATGGGTGGGCAGACTGTGGACCAGGTATTCATTCCAAGGACCCTTTTCTGTTGTATGAGTTCTCACAGCTGTAACAAACTAGACATAGTGGCCCAGTGGTCCCTCTGAGGTGTCTGTTCCAACAATCAATAATACTTCAAGCTTATTGCAAGTAAAACAAATCTTGATGTCCAAAGTACATTACTGATATATTTCTATTAAAAAATACATATTTAAACATGTACACATGCAGAGTTTTGCCAATGTACATACATATATTCATCCAGTATCATTTGGTAGGGTTTTTTCCCAGAGTTTTGAAAATTTCTATGTATATATTCTGTAGAATAGTGTAACTATCTTTAGTATTTTTTTTAATATGGAAGAACTCTTTACTTTCAAAATGCAGGGCTACAAAAGCTGAAAATAGCAATTTGGAAAAACATCCTTCAAGCCTCCTTTTCTACCTTTTCCATTCCCCAGGTTGCTTACCTGTCTGCGGAGGTCTCTGGTCTTCTTGCACATGCTATCTATTGCAACATTCAAGGCATTACTTCTCTCTTTCTTGTCAGTCTGTAAACAATATGACAGAAAACACAACAATGGTTTATTTGTGATCTCTTAGCAAGCATGTTCTTTGTGTCCTCAGTTCATCAAACCATTTGGTAAATCATACACACTTACACATTTTTTTTTAATTTTAATACGTTTCAGGAGCCAGTACCACAATATTCACAGAATGCCAATTTGTGATGTGAAGCATAATCCGCTGAATCAAAACATATGCTTTACTAGCAGCATGTAGGAATGAAATTAAATACTTTTTATCTTCTGTATTTCTGTAATACTCTTTTTATAGTCCAGGGTTACTTATGGAACAACAGTAATATAATTATTATTATTGGTGCCAAGCCATTATCGCCATATTCATATGAAAAATCAAGTTATCTCTCTACAAGGACTTTATAATTTCAGATGCCCACAATGCAGTTTGGCAGTGCTTAGTCTGCAGCTTTTATTATTTTACTCCTGTAAAACAGAATGGGTGAGTTTCAAAACATCCAAGATGTTGCAATGCAAACATCATCAATGAAAATGGACAATCTCTTCATTTAACAGCACAGACGTTCTCAGCATCAATAGAAGATTGAGCTCTTGAGATATTTGAGAGGTCTTAAGAGAATCAGTTGTATACTTTCCAAACAATCTCAACTTTTTATTTCTATCTATAATCAAAGTGCTTATATCATTAATAGCTATTTGAAAAGTATAGTTAACACTTTTATTGTACTGCCCAGCATTTTTTCTATACAATATTACCATAGCAGTTCTGTCTACTAGCTGTTCTGAATAATCTTTTTTTCATGTTAGTACAGAAACTATATGAAAATCTAAAATGTCTGATGAACTTTGTTTCTCTAAAGCAATCACTCATTACTCACTACCTTGGACTGCCCGGGTCCAAAGGAAAGAAACCACAAACAGTGGAAGTGTCTTCACACAAAGTCTCAAATCAGTACACATTACATTCCCACCAAAAGGACCAGAGTCTTAGAAATGTTGAAGAAATAGCTACGTACACTGCCCATAATATTTGGGCTTCAATTACAGTACACTAGAAAGTCTATATTATGAACATGACTGTCTCATTTTGTAGATCATACTAAAATCAATACGAGTGAAAACAAAAGTAGTAATATCTTGGTAGGCACCTAGGTGTATAACCTTGTTATACACAATGTGTCATACTTCAGTCAGAGTTCATTGCCTTGCTAAAAAAAAAAATAATCTGTGAACAGAGCAATATGCTTAATATTAAAGCACCGACTAGAGAAGATCAGAAAAGAACTTTTATGTTAAAAGTGAATGTGTAATGTAATAAATACCTTGAAATGATTAGTACATTCTCTATCAATTGAAAGGAACAATTACTTTAAAAAATTGAGCTTATCTATTCAGGGTGACTTAGTAATTTTCCTACTACTTTCCATTTCTGAAATTGCTTACAGTCTTTGCAGGGAACAGATGATCAAACACAGGTCTTGGAGAGAGGTCTGAACTTCACTTTGAAACCTTCAAGGAATCCCTAAAGGTAGATACTGACTTTCTATTTCATAGTAATGTGACCATTTCTCATACCAACACTTGCATAGGAACCAAAGTAAATAGTCACTCTATTGCTATGTTTTGCAAGCTATTGTCAGCCTTGACAACAAAATTGATCCCTTCTACACTGCTAGGTAAACAGGACCAGTAAAAGCATTGTGGATACAACTCAGCTTATGCCTATGCATTTTCAGATGACAAAGATGCAGTTCCACATTGGTACATCCTTTAGAAGCTTTATATTTACAGCCTATTTTTCTAAGAAGACACAATCAATGTAAAATATTGGGATTTTTTTTTTTAAAGTTCTCTGGTAAGCTGTAACTTTGAAGATGGCAACTAATGATACAATTGGCTCTAAGCAAACCTAAAGCTTTGAGGCAGCTAATATAGCATAACCTATATTGGGTCGGGCTAAGCTGGAGTTAATCTTCCCCATAGCAGCCCTCACAGTGCTGCGCTTTGTATTGGTAGCTAGAAGGGTGCTGGTAACCCACCACTGCTTTGGCTACTGCTGAGCAGTGCTGGCACAGCTTCAAGGCTGTCTCTCCAACACTCCCCCTCATCAGTAGGCTGGGGGTGGGCAAGATCAGAGGAGGGGGCACAGCCAGGACACCTGACCCAAACTGACCAAAGGGATATTCCAAAACATATGCTCAGCAATAACAGCTGATAAAGGAGGAGGAAGGGGGGCATTCGTTATTTATTACATTTGTCTTCCAGACCAATCACTATGTGTAATGAGGCACTGCTCCCTGGGAAGTGGCTGGACATCACCTGCTGATGGGAAGTAGAGAATAAAATCTGTTTTCCTTTTGTTTCTGTATGTGGCCTTTGCTTTTGCTTTTATTAAACTGCCTCTATCTTGACATACGGGGGGGGGGGGGGGGGGGGGTC